TTTCAAAAAACGATTAGATGTTGCTCTTAGCTCCCAACCTTTTGTTACCTAAACTCCCCTACTGTGAATTACGCCAAGGATGCATTTCAACAGGATTTATGTATCAAATGGACCTAAGTGAGCGACCATATTTTGCTTTTTTCACTCTTTACCTCAATGATCATTGCACCCCAGTGTCTTTCTGAAACTTTACGCTCGATAATTTATTTTAATTTTACACTGATGTTACTTATCAAACTATTCATCTCGGCAGATGTTTGACAGATGACCCAGACATATTTTCATTTCAACATATTCACCTCAACCATCCTACTTGAAGTGTCAAGCACTTACTTTTATCCCGTGATAAATCATCGCTCATTGCTCGTTGCATTGAAATTAGCTGCTAATCTTCCCGAAACTGTTGCGAAACTAGGTCAACTTACGCTTCACCGGTAAAGTACTTCCTAATTAAATGCGTATCAACTCGGTAGCATTTACACCGTTGTTTCTGCAAAATAGATAGGGCGAAATCAGTTTATATCATAAGCTGTATTCCTTGTTTTTGGATTAATATTTATAACCATGGCCCACAGCAATGTTACTGTTTACCAGAAAGCCGCTAATTGTTTTGTTTCCAATCGGCGTGTATTGAATCATATGGATAATGTGAACTGAATCAATGTGCATACATTTTTTTCGACGCTGATAATATGAAACATATTGACGATCCAACGGAATCGATCAATGTTTAATGTAATGTTGCTTCTGTGGTTGTTAACTACAGCAGATGATCAATTGCTCGAGGACGCAAGATGTTTTTTCTAACGCAAATATGCTGTCGTATAACGACAAATTACCGCTAAAGCACACTAAACATGGGCAAGTAAGTAATAGTTTCCATTTGAATTATGCGTACCGAGTACAAGCAACATTACAAATAGGCTGCAGTATGCTTTGAGTAGAAATTTATTAACCACAAATATTTACGTACGATGCATATTTTAACCCAAAATGCCTATTATCCTGTGTTTAACATTAGAGCTCAACTTCTGCGAAGATTGTGTCTTACCAAACACGCATGATTTCCATTGCCATAACAAGCAAATGTGGATTAATTCAGTGACCGCAGCTGCATAACAGTTCATTAAACTGAGCCAACTATATATGTGAAAACATGCAAGCAAATTGCTCTATGTATTCACTTAAAGGTGCATGTACAATTTTTGCTTAAGTTAAACTCTTCTGCTTCTTCGATGTGGTTGTCTTAAGCAAATAGTTAAATAATGTTTTACACGTTACTGCAAAAACTTAGAAGTGGAATTAACCAGTCCAAATGTAAAATTTTTGTCTCACCTTGTACTGCTTCCCGTATGACTAAGCAGCGCACTGTCTTTTAATTGCTTCACTGTAAGTAACCTAATTGTAGGTGAATCTAGTTCCCTTAGTGTTCGTGAGCAATGAACCTATATTCGAGGAAACGCCGAAGCTCTCAATATCTTCTTTTTGACCCTATAACAACCATAGATCCTAGTCTGGACAAGTTTGCCTTTAACAATAGTACAGGTGAAATCGGTGTCCGAATTCAAGCAGCTGCCATACACCTACTTTGCTGATCTCGGTTTTAAGGGGTTCATCCTACTCTGAAAGCCTATCGCACAGCTGTGATTTGTTGCAGGTCCACAGGAATCGGTGAATTAATTTCGCGCATTTGCCCGATCTAAATGTGACGGAGAGACCCAAGTGTGAATGCACTAGATCTCTATTCTTAGTATTCAATATTCAATTAAGGGGCAACGCAATGACACAAAGTATTAAGCTGCCGTAGAACAGAGGGCTAACTAATAAATTGGTTAACCGGACAATGCCAACTAATGCTTGTGTTTCCCAAAAGGTTTATAGCTTCTACCCAACTGTAAGGATCGATAATTTACAAGCCTCCACGCCTTATGTCGCGGATTCTTATGTTACAAAATAAAATAAAATGATATAGTTAAAACGCATGCACGAGAACATTTTGAACGCGGATTGCAAAATCTCTTTAAGGGAAGTTATTTTATACTCGTTGCCATGCGCATACTATTTGATCATAACTCAGCAAGGCGATGTGGTTGTTCGTCTAGTATTGGACTTCAGCGATAAGCATTATCATAGAGCATTGCGCAAAATAATGTTGAAATATCTGTCCTTATCCCAAGGATCCAATGTTCAAATGCAACATAATTACCATCGATACAAAAATTAGGCGGTGATCAAACTTGTATTTATTAATTCATCATAAGGCTATTATATCCACGGAAGCAAACTGTCGCAAGAAAGACAGAAAAACCAGTAAAGTGCCGCGTCTCAGTCGAAAATTCCAGTATCCTGCCAATAAGTGGATTTTTCCATCACCATCTTGATGTACACTTCTACAATTAGACTCATTCAACTCGGATAATTCGCCGCTACCCAGGGAACCCAGAATCAAAACCTAATTCCCAAACTATGACGATTTGCCTCGCTATAACATTTGCGGCTGAAGTTTTGCAGATTTACACAAGCTCAATCGCCAGATTCATTTTTGCCAAAGCAGCAGTTTTCTTTCCTTCTACAGCACGCCTTAAGGACATTCTTTTTAGCTCCAGCTGATAACCATCAGACATTGTGGATGTAAACTGCAAGTTTTGACAGTCAGTGGCTGCGCATTTAGCAAACAATCGCAAATCAAACTTTCTTTAACTTGGGCCGATCGTGCATGCACACACGTTTAATCCCACTCTTTCGACTGCGCTACCCCATTGTCAGCGCATCGCATTCCTTCGATTGATAACGGTTAGCAAAGCTGCTCACCCAATCAGCACACAGTAACGCTATTCATTACAACCTGGAGAAATCAAACTGCTTCTGCTGATAAAGCAGTCATAGAAGTTCGACTTCATCTTTCTTTTCTTTCTTGCCACTTAACTGCCTTACCGGTAGCGCGAATTCATTGTCCGGATCTCAGTTTTCTATTCTTTACCCATATTACCCAATGTGGTTTTCTCCCTTCCAATGTTAGTTTTGATATTAACCTAAACCTAGTTGGCTTTTTCTATTATGCTGGTCAGACTTACATGCTTATGGACTAGGACCCGAAGAACCCCAAAAACCTTAAGACAGGCATGACTCAGTAAATCAACTTGGGCAACACTATGTACAGCGCTTGCTAAACTATCTACCATCCAAGATGACCTTACTCAGCTTATTATCAAACGTTCGTCGATCCATTGGTCTCGGTCAGTTCGCACTACACTGTATAATTCCATTCAGAAATTGGTGACCAGTCATAAAGTCGAACAGATATAAAACTCAAGCTCGTTTAGCAGATACATGGCCACATAAATTGTCGGCATGATGCGCCACTCCAACAACATTCTGGTCTTTAATATCCTCATTAAAATTCTGCATAATCCCTTACCGAATGTTAGAATTTATGCGGGAAATATTGTCCTTATGGAGCGCAGTTGCATAAGAATTAATAACATTATTTAACGCCACTGCTGTACGTTTCAATGTTCAGTTAATTAACAGCTAGTGAGTTTAGAAACCAAGTGGCCAAGTTGTTGCCAACAATGACTTCCAGATCCTGAAAAAATTACCAATAGAAGGCATTTCCAAGGAGTACATAGACAGTCTGTCACTATTAAGCAGAGCGAGACAAAACGTTCTGCACTCTCGCATTCCCAACATATATTATACATTTTTACATGCAACTTCACGCATAGGGCTAATAATTTAGCGTGTTACAAAAATCAGAATAACGTGTTATGCATGCAAGTTCACGAGGGCATCAGTTCCTTTTCTCCCTGAGTTGTTACGCGCACGCACTAGTAGTAACAATGACCGATAGGATTATCCGGATTTAAACACAGGGTTAGATGTGTGGTCTATGGAGAACAGGTGGGTTTCCCAATAAGTTGACAGATTACTGTTACTTGAAGGCAGACAGCAGTGATAGTGTCAGTGCTAGAGATCACCAACAATACGCCTGACTGTAACTAGTCAAGCTAGGATGAGGGGTTTTCACATTCTCTGTCTTCACCACATTAACAGGTCTTTTGTGGGAAAGGGTTACCATTACTTCGTATACTGACACGGTCGGAATCTGGTGTCCCTATGCCAAATTTCCAGCGTTTGTCTGAGCAGTCCGTAACCGATCGGGCACGTAATATCTGTTTGAGCCAAGGTGCACAGAACCAGTGGCATATTTAGGCACCAGGTTAGTATTGCCTCTGGCCGAAACACTGTACTGCATAAAGATAGTAATAATAGACAAGTATCTATCAAACTAAAAGCTGTGGTAATATTTGGCATAGAACATACACGTACAGGTTATGGCATGCTCTTGCAAAAGTAATATTATGTTATCTTCTTAAATTTGTCTACATGTCTGACAAAGCGTTTGCCCCCTACGTGTGTCTTATGCAATGGTAGGGGGCAAATTTGTAGTTTTAGTATGTTGTACCCACTAAATACTAATTACATTGCATGGATTGGTGATACTACACACATTAAACTTTATGTGGGCTTCTATTGAATGGATGTTCGACCGTTATAGGCCAAGAAAAAAGGGACGTACTGGTGTCCAACTGGAGGTAGCTTCCCAACCTACTGCGAAAGGCTTTCACAACCTGATGCTGAATGGCAGCGGATTCCACAGATATGCATGTATGGTGAGACGAAATTTAGACTTTAAATTTGTCTAGCCTTGTGGTATTCGTAGGGTTGGGTTTGTGTTAACTAGGTATGGTAAGTAAGTTTACTTCAACATTAAGGTGAATGGATTGTAACGGGTATCGCCATGAATCATATGGTGCAGCAGTGTCCAGTTTGCTTTTAGTCATGGCAGCAAACACGGATCGAGTTAGAGTTTCTGGAATCGCTCCCGAGAATTTATGATAATCTTCAAGGAATCACGGGCAATGCTGCTTTTCAACACAGCAAATATTCCCATTGTAATCAAATGAATCAAAGCCAGAAAACAGTTCAGGGTTAAGACATCTTTTCGGTAAAATCTCGTCAGACCCAAACTTTTACATGACACGGATTATGTGGGGTAAGCGTCAAATCGGGCTGGGATTGATTTCTTAGGTGTTTGAAAGGTCAAGATCGATGACTAAAGGTGGCTACAGATGGTAGGAAAAGTGCATCAAAGGAAATTAATACAGGCTTCAGGGCCTAAAGTAAATAGCTAAGGTTACAAAGGGTAGTTAAGTAACCATGTCAGTCGGCCAAGGTAGTAGTATCGGCCGTATGAATCGTTTGTGTACGCATAATTCCGGCTTCAGATGATGGATGTAAATAGCCTCGGCGATAGACAAGATTTGCTTTCGGAAGCCTTGTGATAAGCGTTCAGGTAGTGAATAGATGACTTTAAAGTCATTCTCCGATGCAGTATGGCCACTTTCGAGGAGGTGTGACATGATTGAGCTGTCTGAGGCCCTCATTTCGCCCTTGTAAAACCACGCCGGGATGTGCTCGCGAATCCTCTGGGATAGACGTCTCGTTGTGCGACCCACGTATCGTGCACCACAAGAGCACGAGTACTGATAAACGAGCATTGAACGGGTCAACGATGGCAGACTATCTTTCAAGGGTTTTGCAAGCAATGGTTTGTTGTGGTAAACAATTCTTAAGCGGGCTGCGAAATAAGTTTTCTCAACAGCATCTTTCAAACGTCGAGATAGGATATCAGCTGCAGTGTCGCCCTTAAATGGTAAATGTATGAACAGCTCTTTCTTGGGAGCAATGCTTCTAGGTGGCTTTCGCTTGCGTTCTTTCATATGCTTCATGATAAACTTATCAGGGTAACCATTCTCACGAAGGGCGTCGCTGATTCTCTGTAGCTCTTCGTTGACGGTATCCGGAGTGCAAATACTGCGCGCCCTGAAGGCAAGAGATCGTATTAAACTCCTCTTGTGCTGTAAAGGCACCGCGCTGTGAAAGTTAGTGTACTGTCCAGTCCACGTATGCTTTCTGTGTACCTTTCTGCTACATGAGCCGTCCGAATTGCGGATGACTTCTACATCCAAGAAAGGTAAACGGTTTTTATTTTCGTGCTCACAGGTGAAGCGTAGATTATTATGTGCATCATTAAAGGCCTTCAGCAACTGTTCTGCATGCTTTTCGGATTCGCAAAGCACGAAGGTGTCATCGACGTACCGTATGTACATTTCAGTTCCACAGATGTGCGTCCTGAGTGGGCCATGTTCTAATTTCGCCATAAAGATATCAGCCAACAACGGCCCCAAAGGAGATCCCATGGCCACTCCATCAATTTGACGGTACATCTCACCATTGAACATGAATTGAACATTTAATGTGCAGCGAAATAGTATCTCCTTTAGCAGATACTCCGGAAAGTTAGCGTATATTGGTAGTTGCCGGGTCAACTCGCACACGTACTCCACCGTTTCGAGCAGGGGAATGTTTGTAAACAGCGACTGGGCATCAAAAGATATCATCCTTTTGTTAGTAAAGTTGAGTTCAGATATCTTCTCAATGAATTCGAAGGAGTCTCTCACGCAGTAAGTGCAAACCATATCCCGTAACGGTTGCAATTTGTTCACCATCCATTGGGCCAACAAATGCTGGGGAGAACCCACCATGTCCAAGATTGGACGCATTGGGGCGCCTTCCTTGTGAACTTTTGGAAGGCCATATAATCTCGGTAGGTGTCCACCTGAAGGCTTCAACTTTTCGTATTCGCTCTTTGTGATCAGTTTGGCTTGCATCATTCGCTTGAGGCAGCCGGCCAACTGTTTCTCTAACTCCCCTGTGTTGTCCTTTCCGGCCATAAGCTTCTGGAACTTACGTTCATCACTGAGGATATGTTGCATTTTACAGATATAATCCACCCTATCTAATAACACTATGCCGGATCCTTTGTCTGGTCTAGAGATAATTAATTCGTTGTTTAACCGTAACTCTTTAATTGCCTGAATTTGCTCCCTTGAAATAATACCATTACTAGATGGTATTCCTATCTCGACGTTTGAAAGATGCTGTTGAGAAAACTTATTTCGCAGCCCGCCTAAGAATTGTTTACCACAAAAAACCATTGCTTGCAAAACCCTTGAAAGATAGTCTGCCATCGTTGACCAGTTCAATGCCCGTTTATCAGTACTCGTGCTCTTGTGGTGCACGATACGTGGGTCGCACAACGAGACGTCTATCCCAGAGGATTCGCGAGCACATCCCGGCGTGGTTTTACAAGGGCGAAATGAGGGCCTCAGACAGCTCAATCATGTCACACCTCCTCGAAAGTGGCCATACTGCATCGGAGAATGAATTTAAAGTCATCTATTCACTACCTGAACGCTTATCACAAGGCTTCCGAAAGCAAATCTTGTCTATCGCCGAGGCTATTTACATCCATCATCTGAAGCCGGAATTATGCGTACACAAACGATTCATACGGCCGATACTACTACCTTGGCCGACTGACATGGTTACTTAACTACCCTTTGTAACCTTAGCTATTTACTTTACGCCCTGAAGCCTGTATTAATTTCCTTTGATGCACTTTTCCTACCATCTGTAACCACCTTTAGTCATCGATCTTGACCTTTCAAACACCTAAGAAATCAATCCCAGCCCGATTTGACGCTTACGCCACATAATCCGTGTCATGTAAAAGTTTGGGTCTGAGGAGATTTTACCGAAAAGATGTCTTAACCCTGAACTGTTTTCTGGCTTTGATTCATTTGATTACAATGGGAAAATTTGCTGTGTTGAAAAGCAGCATTGCCCGTGATTCCTTGAAGATTATCATAAATTCTCGGGAGCGATTCCAGAAACTCTAACTCGATCCGTGTTTGCTGCCATGACTAAAAGCAAACTGGAGACGGCTGCACTATATGATTCATGGCGATACCCGTTACAATCCATTCACCTTAATGTTGAAGTAAACTTACTTACCATACCTAGTTAACACAAACCCAACCCTGCGAGTACCACAAGGCAAGACAAATTTGCAGTCTAAATTCGTCTCACCATACATGCATATCTGTGGAATCCGCTGCCATTCAGCATCAGGTTGTGAAAGCCTTCCGCAGTAGGTTGGGAAGCTACCTCCAGTTGGACACCAGTACGTCCCTTTTTTCTTGTCCTATAACGGTCGAACATCCATTCAATAGAAGCCCACATAAAGTTTAATGTGTGTAGTATCACCAATCCATGCAATGTAATTAGTATTTAGTGGGTACAACATAATAAAACTACAAATTTGCCCCCTACCATTGCATAAGACACACGTAGGGGGCAAATGATTTGTCAGACATGTAGACAAATTTAAGAAGATAATATAATATTACTTTTGCAAGAGCACGCCATAACCTGTACGTGTATGTTCTATGCCAAATATTACCACAGCTATCAGTTTGATAGATACATGTCTATTATTACTATCTTTATGCAGTAGTGTTTTGGCCAGAGGCAATACTAACCTGTTGCCTAAATATGCCACTGGTTCTGTGCACCTTGGCTCAAACAGATATTACGTGCCCGATCGGTTACGGACTGCTCAGACAAACGCTGGAAATTTGGCATAGGGACACCAGATTCCGACCGTGTCAGTATACGAAGTATTGGTAACCCTTTCCCACAAAAGACCTGTTAATGTGGTGAAGACAGAGAATGTGAAAACACCTCATCCTAGCTTGACTAGTTACAGTCCGGCGTATTGTTGGTGATCTCTGGCACTGACACTATCACTGCTGTCTGCCTTCAAGTAACAGTAATCTGTCAACTTATTGGGAAACCCACCTGTTCTCCATAGACCACACATCTAACCCTGTGTTTAAATCCGGATAATCCTATCGGTCATTGTTACTACTAGTGCGTGCGCGTAACAACTCAGGGAGAAAAGGAACTGATGCCCTCGTGAACTTGCATGCATAACACGTTATACTGATTTTTGTAACACGCTAAATTATTAGCCCTATGTGTGAAGTTGCATGTAAAATTGTATAATATATGTTGGGAATGCGAGAGTGCAGAACGTTTTGTCTCGCTCTGCTTAATAATGACAGACTATCTATGTACTCCTTGGAAATGCATTCTATTGGTAATTTTTTCAGGATCTGGAAGTCATTGTTGGCAACAACTTGGCCACTTGGTTTCTAAACTCACTAGCTGTTAATTAACTGAAAATTGAAACGTACAGCAGCGGCGTTAAATAATATTATTAGTTCTTATGCAACTGCGCTCCCTAATGACAATATTTCCAGCATAAATTCTAACATTCGGTAAGGGATTATGCAGAATTTTAATGAGGATATTAAAGACCAGAATGTTGTTGGAGTGGCGCATCATGCCGACAATTTATGTGGCCATTTATCTGCTAAACAAGCTTGAGTTTTATATATGTTCGACTTTATGACTGGTCATCAATTTCTGAATGGAATTAACAGTGTAGTGCGAACTGACCGAGACCAATGGATCGACGAACGTTTGATAATAAGCTGAGTAAGGTCATCTTGGATGGTAGATAGTTTAGCAAGCGCTGTACATAGTGTCGCCCAAGTTGATTTACTAAGTCATCCTGTCTTAAGTTTTTGGGGTTCTTCGGGTCCTAGTTCATAAGCACGTAAGTCTGACTAGCATAATAGAAAAAGCCAACTAGGCTTAGGTTAAAATCAAAACTAACATTGGAAGGGCGAAAACCACATTGGGTAATATGGGTAAAGAATAGAAAACTGAGATCCGGACAATGAATTCGCGCTACAGGTAAGGCAGTTACGTGGCAAGAAAGAAAAGAAAGATGAAGTCGAACTTCTATGACTGGTTGATCAGCAGAAGCAGTTTGATTTCTCCAGCTTGTAATGAATAGCGTTACTGTGTGCTGATTGGGTGAGCAGCTTTGCTAACCGTTATCAATCGAAGGAATGCGATGCGCTGACAATGGGGTAGCGCAGTCGAAAGAGTGGGACTAAACGTGTGTGCATGCACGATCGGCCCAAGTTAAAGAAAGTTTGATTTGCGATTGTTTGTTAAATGCGCAGCCACTGACTGTCAAAACTTGCAGTTTCCATACACAATGTCTGATGGTTATCAGCTGGAGCTAAAAAGAATGTCCTTAAGGCGTGCTGTAGAAGGAAAGAAAACTGCTGCTTTGGCAAAAATGAATCTGGCGATTGAGCTTGTGTAAATCTGCAAAACTTTAGCCGCAAATGTTATAGCGAGGCAAATCGTCATAGTTTGGGAATTAGGTTTTGATTCTGGGTTCCCTTGGTAGCGGCGATTTATCCGAGTTGAATGAGTCTAATTGCAGAAGTGTACATCAAGATGGTGATGGAAAAATCCACTTATTGGCAGGATACTGGAATTTTCGACTGAGACGCGGCACTTTACTGGGCTTTTCTGTCTTTCTTGCGACAGTTTGCTTCCGTGGATATAATAGCCTTATGATGAATTAATAAATACAAGTTTGATCACCGCCTAATTTTTGTATCGATAGTAATTATGTTGCATTTGAACATTGGATCCTTGGGATAAGGACAGATATTTCAACATTATTTTGCGCAATGCTCTATGATAATGCTTATCGCTGAAGTCCAATACTAGACGAACAACCACATCGCCTTGCTGAGTTATGATCAAATAGTATGCGCATGGCAACGAGTATAAAATAACTTCCCTTAAAGAGATTTTGCAATCCGCGTTCAAAATGTTCTCGTGCATGCGTTTTAACTATATCATTTTATTTTATTTTGTAACATAAGAATCCGCGACATAAGGCGTGGAGGCTTGTAAATTATCGATCCTTACAGTTGGGTAGAAGCTATAAACCTTTTGGGAAACACAAGCATTAGTTGGCATTGTCCGGTTAACCAATTTATTAGTTAGCCCTCTGTTCTACGGCAGCTTAATACTTTGTGTCATTGCGTTGCCCCTTAATTGAATATTGAATACTAAGAATAGAGATCTAGTGCATTCACACTTGGGTCTCTCCGTCACATTTAGATCGGGCAAATGCGCGAAATTAATTCACCGATTCCTGTGGACCTGCAACAAATCACAGCTGTGCGATAGGCTTTCAGAGTAGGATGAACCCCTTAAAACCGAGATCAGCAAAGTAGGTGTATGGCAGCTGCTTGAATTCGGACACCGATTTCACCTGTACTATTGTTAAAGGCAAACTTGTCCAGACTAGGATCTATGGTTGTTATAGGGTCAAAAAGAAGATATTGAGAGCTTCGGCGTTTCCTCGAATATAGGTTCATTGCTCACGAACACTAAGGGAACTAGATTCACCTACAATTAGGTTACTTACAGTGAAGCAATTAAAAGACAGTGCGCTGCTTAGTCATACGGGAAGCAGTACAAGGTGAGACAAAGATTTTACATTTGGACTGGTTAATTCCACTTTTATGTTTTGGCAGTAACGTGTAAAACATTATTTAACTATTTGCTTAAGACAACCACATCGAAGAAGCAGAAGAGTTTAACTTAAGCAAAAATTGTACATGCACCTTTAAGTGAATACATAGAGCAATTTGCTTGCATGTTTTCACATATATAGTTGGCTCAGTTTAATGAACTGTTATGCAGCTGCGGTCACTGAATTAATCCGCATTTGCTTGTTATGGCAATGGAAATCATGCGTGTTTGGTAAGACACAATTTTCGCAGAAGTTGAGCTCTAATGTTAAACACAGGATAATAGGCATTTTGGGTTAAAATATGCATCGTACGTAAATATTTGTGGTTAATAAATTTCTACTCAAAGCATACTGCAGCCTATTTGTAATGTTGCTTGTACTCGGTACGCATAATTCAAATGGAAACTATTACTTACTTGCCCATGTTTAGTGTGCTTTAGCGGTAATTTGTCGTTATACGACAGCATATTTGCGTTAGAAAAAACATCTTGCGTCCTCGAGCAATTGATCATCTGCTGTAGTTAACAACCACAGAAGCAACATTACATTAAACATTGATCGATTCCGTTGGATCGTCAATATGTTTCAT